TTTACAACAGTGATACATCAGCTGCATTTGCCATTTCCAATGGGGTAAAACAGGGTTGTGTGCTAGCCTCATTCAGTCTCATCTTTGCTTGTGTGTTGCCATGTGCTGTCCAGGGTCTGAAGGAGGGAGTGTACATCAGGTACTGATTGGACAGCTCTGACCTTCGCTGCTTGAACACATGGACGAAGTGCCTCCATATAGTCATCCAGGAAACCCTCTTTGCTGATGACTACGTGCTCCTGGTGCAGAAAGACAGTGATCTACAGTTGATGCTAAACAAATTCTCACACGCTGCTGTGCTCTTTGGCCTACTATCAGCCTGAACAAGACTGAAGTACTTTATCAGCCCGTGCCAAATACCAATCCCGTGGAACCAAAAATCACTGTTGACAACACCCAGCTAACAAAGTAAACAGTTTCAAATTCTTGGGAAGCTGCATCTCGAGTGATGTGTCTTTGGACAAAGAAATTGACTCCATGATCAGCAACGCCAGCCAGACACTGGGGCAGCTGTGTACTAGAGTGCTCAATCAACAGAAATCTGTATCTCCACAAAGCTGAAAGTCTACAGAGCTGTGGTTATTCCTTCCCTCCTATATGGATATGAGTCCTGGACTCTCTACTGAAGGTGCATCAAACAACTGGAGAAAATTCACATGTGCACTCTCCACTCCAACCTTGGCATTCATTGGTAAGACTGTCTTCAACCTGGTGATCTTGGATCATGCGGAGTCCACCAGGATTGAGTCCCTGATTATCAGAGCCCAGATATGGTAGGTGGGACACGTCGTCAGAATGGATGACCACCGTATGCCTCACCAGTTGCTCTATAGTGTACTGGAGTCTGGGAAGAGACCTTGAGATCAACCATGCAAGCACTGCAAAGACCTTGTGACATCCAGCCAAGGGAATTAGAAGCTGCGCCTGCTGACAGAACCCACTGGTGAGCCCTATGCTATGAAGCCTCCACTGGCTTTGAAGACAGGCGCCGCCAAAAATTGATAAAAACTGTGAGCGGCGTCACAGAATAACAACCACAGTTGTTAAAACAATGGGCTTCCATTGCCCTCATTGTGCTAGACTCTGCACTTCCAGACTGGGACTGCAGAGCCACCTCTGTGTCTACAGATGAACTGCACAACAGCATGTCTTCTTCAAATCTGAAGGCCTACTATATAACCCACCTTAATCATACAACTCTGGGAGGTGAACAGCAACGTAAAAAGACTAGAGAAAAATAATACTACCCCCCCCATTTAACAGTAACATAAAATATGCAAACAAATACACAAATGGATACCTATAGCCAGTCAAATGATAAAGGGAAGTTTAATGATAAAGGGAAGTTTTATCCAGAATGTGAGTTGGGATCATCTGTATGGAGGCTCCCACGAGGGAAGACATGCCACGTCCTCCAAGTCTTATGAACCTCCCAAGGAGGAAAATCTCTCAAATGGGCCTCTCCAATGACTAGATCAGATGGGTGGTCATCTTTGGTAAGGGGCTGGCTGATGAAACTTGGTACTGTGCTTGGTACTACAAAGGTTTTATAAATAAATGGATGCTTGCAATGAGGTCCCAGTGTTAATGGAAAGCCTCTGCAATTGCTTCAAAATCAGAGTTATTCTGTAGTGGCAGGATTGGTCAACCAGCAGTCTGGCTGCTGCATTCTGGACTAATATGAAGAGCTATTAACTTTCCTACGTAGTTCTTAGAAACTCATTTGGCTTTTTATTTCCACTGAAGAGAATATATTTCATTCAGTATTTCTGGTTGTACAGTAGATTAAAATTGACAACAACAGCAAAAAAGATAACTGCAGGTGCTGTACTCTGTCCATTAAACTTCCCTTCATGTGCTGCCCTACACCAGGGATGGGTCTTCCTGTTGCTGTCCTCCCTTGGCCCTCTGCATACCCCCAGATTTCTTTGAGACAGTTGCCAGATACTCTGAAGCACATTTGTCGGCAGGGGGCACTGGCAGGTGCCATTTTATTAGCAAATAGAGTTATATGCTGTACAATTCTGTACTTGTTGCCTAGTTATAGCTCATAATTTATGTCTAATTGTCTGCCTAAAGATTATGCTGGCATGTAGACTCCAAATGATATTACCTTCAATTATGTATCCTGCACAATCTGGATTTATAAAAGTTCATCTAGCATGTTAATATTAGAAAATTGTTATTTTGATTATATTCAGAAATCCTGCAGTCAGCACTAGTTGACCCATTAAATACAGAGGTGGCTTTTGACATGGTACGTAGGAAATTCTTGAAACATGATTTGCCTAACTAGGAATTTCTTCCTTTTTTGTCAGTTGGAATAATATGTGCTATATTACTTCTTGTGCTAGGATTCTTATACTGTAAATGGATTTTTTATTCATCTATGGACACTAATACTGCATAGTGGTAGGTGATTTAAGTGGCTGTGAACTGGTAAATTTCTGATCCTGATGTGCTTCTGCTCAGACTATTACTTCAGTGGCCTGATCCAAACCATTGTCTTTCAGCCTCAGTGAGAATGGGAAGAAACTATACTAACTTAACTTTTAGTTTGTTACAAGATTGGGCTGAAGCTAATGATGAATGTTGAGTGGTCTGAATAACTGAACCAGCTAGACATTTTGATTGTGAAAATACTTAGAGGGTCATCTTCCCCCCACCTCTTCCAGTCCCAAGTAGATTGGAGGAAGTGACCTTACATTTGATGAGAAAAGGAATAGAAGGTTATGTTGTAAACAAATGATCAGGAGGTGGAAATTTGAAAAGCTCTTCCAAATTGAAAAGAGCTTGGGGAAAAGCTCTTGGGGAGTGGCTGTTTGACTGGTGAATTTTAACTCATGTATATGCTGGTCTTTGACCGTAATAAAGATTTGATTTGATTTAACTCATGTAAGGCCTGAGTTTGGCTTCTTTTCTTTCCTTCCCTGTTTAATTACATCTTCTCTTCCTCGTGGCCCTCTCTTGCTTCCTCCAGTGCAGCTCCTCAGAATGCAGTCACCCTTCTGATGGGTTCTCCATCCTGTTTTTGCTAGAAGGAAGGAGAAGAATGTATATACTTGCATACTTCTGTAGCATGTATATAAGCAGCATCTGTGTGACTGCTAGATGTGTATGCATATGAACAAGTATCCATCCCTGCTATAAGGAAAAAGTTCGTTGCCTGTGAAATAACCGCCCCAGACACACACACATACAAAGAGTGGCAGAGAAGGAATCAGTTACAGAGCAGGGGGCCTTAGTTTAACTTTTTCCACGTAGCAGGCATGCATACTTGTTCATATGTATATGCATCTACCAGTTTCTTTCATTCTTTCTCTTTCTTTCACTTTTTCTCTCATACACAGATGCATAGCATTTTTTTGAGGCATAAGGGGATCTGGATTGGTTAACAATCCTTGGTTGATAGTGTGGGAAAGCTGAATGTTGCACAGGATTTTTGCATATATTATTAATCCCTTTTTCTGTCTACTCTTCCTGTGAGGTCAAGAAGATCATCCTAAATTCACGGTCATTTTCCATTAGAGTTGCTAATGGAAAATGACCCAGAGTCGCTTTTTTTAAAATTATTTTTTATTATTAAAAAAAAGGAAAAAAATACATAAAGATGTATTTTTTAAAATAAAAGTGAAAAAGTACCAAAAAAAAGTTAATGTTACAATAGTACACAGTTCCAGTTCTATATATGCTTATCCAATACAACTGTTGTTCAAGTACATATATATTTCTGTTATATGACTATCCTGTTTTTTTTAATCCAGTGTATTTTGTATAAACGAGTCCCCTATTTCATTATCCTTGTCCATACAAAGTCGATGTCTATAGGCAATCCGCTCATAAGTAGCAAGTGTAATCAGGTCTTCAGTCCATTGATTAAATGGGGCCATACATTTATCTTTCCAATGTTATATCAGTCATTTTTCCAATGTTTTATCAGTCTTAATATCAGTCTTTTGGCCATAGTAAGAGCACAGAGAATCCATTTATGTTGTCCAGTTGTCAAGTTCCATGTACTAGATATATAATTCAAAAGAATATTATCTTCTGAAATTTTTAGCTTTTGTCGTGCAATCATATAGTCCACTACTTTCTCCCAAAACTAAGTAAATATAGGATATTGCCTCTTTAAAGCATATGTTTTTACATTGTCCTTATTACATCTCCAACAAAATGCTGTTTTTGACAGTCCTTTTCTATACATATGTAGTGGAGCCCAATAAATTCTAAATATTATTTTTTGTTGTATAAGTCATAATTTATGGTCTGTTGACACTCTTGGTATAGAAGTTAAGACAGTCTCCCATTGTCTAAGCAATATAGAAATCTCTCATTCTAACCCAGAGTTGCTTTTTTAACGAGATGGATGGTGACAAATATACATATATATATAGTAAATATATATGCACACTGTAAACATTCTAAACCCTGTGGGGCATTGTGGGGCAAAACCTAGATTTAGAATCTGAAATTACCTCACTGGATAGGAACAGAGGAAGCTGCTGTATATAGTACTGAGTCAGCCTATCCTATTCGGTATTGTTCACACTGCCAGGCAGTTGTTCCCCAGGGCTTCAGGTGGCAGTTTTTCCATTTCTTTGTGGAAATACCAAGAGATTGCTTAAATATCTTTTTCGTATGCAAAACATGTGCTGTCCTGAAGAGCTAAACCCCCTCCCTTCAAGGAATGTACAATTTTAGTGAAAGAGTCATTTTGTAGATATCAGTGGCATATTGTGACTTCTTATTTTCAGGGTGTGCTTTTGCTTAATTTTAGTTTCAGTTCCTCTGGGCATTCTAAGTGATGTGATTATGAGAACTTTGTTGAAAACTGGATATTCCATTTTGATTCATCCTGAGCGTTACTTAATTTGAAAATATTCATACTGTTCCCAGCCATGAGCAAATGTCCTGATTGTTGCAGCAGATGAGTTGGCAGGATGAGAGCCATCAGTGAACCTGCTGAATCCATTGTGTGTGATGAAAATTATTTGGGTCTTTCTAGATCTCTTCTTCTTTGTCAACACTCTTTTGATACATAAAAGGCATAAAACAAGGCCCAGCTATTGAAGATCAACAAGGAAGGCAGATACTGCATTTGGAAGCAAGCCTCATGACGTGGCTTTTCTTGTTTAAAACACACACGGAGAACTTTAAAGGGACAGTGGCCTGTGATGACATTTTGCAGAGTGCCAGCATCCCTCCTTTACCAGCTTGAACAGGAACTGGATACAGATGAAAAGGAAACCATGCTCTTCTTATGCAGAGATCTCATGCCTGACTTATGTATGTCTGATGTCCAACAGCTCTTGACAGCTTTGAATGAGAAGGAGATACTGACCACCATCAATTTATCTGAACTATTATACAGGCTGAAAAGATTTGACTTGTTAAAGAGGTTCCTGGGGACCGGAAGAGCAGCTGTAGAAGCCACTTTGGCCAATCATCCTCAGATGTTGTCAAAATACAGGTGAGTTCAGTTGAAGAGCATTCTGGCTTTTAAAAATATATATACCTCTATATTAGACACTTTATTTACATTGGGTTCCATTTCTAAGAATTGCTTCTGTTGAAAATGCTGTTTGTATGATCAGTGTAACATCAGAACTGTAAACTTCTGTGAGATCTCAGTTTCATTTCCATAAACTGAAAAATGATTAGTTTGTGGGAGTAGAATAGTGATCTGGTATTAGGTTTTAACTCTAATTTATAAATCTTTTAAAATAAAACATAAATATGCCAATCATGCAACTTGACCACTCAGACAACCATGGATATTAGAAATCAGAGTTATTTACACCAATGATTTGTTCAAGGGAGCGAGCAAACAATTGAGACCCAAACCAAAATTAGCTTATACTTGAACCATTTTGTAAGTAATAAAATATAAAATTGCTGTGGTATCCTCCTCCTCCTTAACTTTTTTGATTTCACCATAACTAGTGGAAGAACTTTCATCTTAAGCATTTTCAGCAATGATACTTGAGTATGCAGAAAGTTGAGTTGCAGGTGTTAGAGCAGTCTTCTCTTCTGCTGCATGCCAAATATGTTGGGACTACAGCTTCCAACGCTCCCAGGAATTGGCGTTATTTTAAGGGAGGTTTGGTCCACAAGCCAGGTTAGCCAAGACACTTGACTAGGTCCTATTTATTCCATGTCTGTGTCAGCAGATGACTTTCAGTGGTCTCAGTTATTGCCTTCAGGATTGGAATGTTTTTTCTTCTTTCTGATGGAAAGGAATTGTAGTGGGACTTGTGTTGTGGCTTTCTTTATGACTCAAACCTTCACATGTGCCAGTGAGGGCATGCTGGCTGGTGAATTCTTGGAGCTGAAGTCCACACATCTTAAAGTTGCCAAGTTGAGAAACACTGGTGTAGAGTGTGGTGCAAATCCACCCTGTGCTTCAGCTTGTTGGTTTTACTAAGCAATCTGTATTCTCTATTTGTAAAATACACTATTGGAACTTAAAAGTAATGTAATTCCACTGATGGCTGTTTGAAGTATTTTTACTCTGCTGATTTGAATACTGAATGACTATAACTCCAAAATGTCCTTAATAAAGCTCTGCATGCAAATGAGTATCATTACCCCTAACCTAAAATTCAAATCATCAGCTACCAGTATGTCAGAAGAGTTACCCAAACCCGTAGATTAGGAGTTTAGGTAGGATATCCTAAATATGTTTATCTTCATTCATATCCATACATGAACTGAGCTGGAGCACTGGATACATTTTATACTGTACAAATGATGCGTAAAAGGAAAACTGATAGATTACTCTTATGGGAAGCTGCTCTGTACTGTTGTATTAATGATATACTGTTGTGAGATGGGCGGCTATATAAATAAATAAAATTATGGGCCCAATTAATTCAATAGTCTCCACACCAGCCTTCTCCATAGATGTCAAGGTGCAAACTGCCTTCATTGGCCATTCTGTCTAGGACTGATTTATAGAGTTATAGTCCAGAATAACTATAATAGCTTTTAAAGACCAAATTGTTCCAGAGAACCTTCTCCTGATTTTGTTAAGCCATCAGTATGCTCTATTTTACTGTTTGTAGTTGTTGTTTGGGTTTTTTATTGTTTAAAATTGTACTGAGTTTTTATTTGGTCTTACTCTTAAATATTTATGCTTGTTGGTTGAAAAATATATGGTTAAAATATAGTTTAAGGAAGGAGTATGTGTAGAAGAATATGCAGTACAGGCCACTGGGTAGGAGAGCAAGGCTTTTTTTTTAAAAAAAAAAGATGAAATGAATTCCAAATTGTGTTTGTGTGCAGGGTGCTGATGGCTGAACTCAATGAAGATCTGGACAAAGAAGACTTGAGATCTCTCTCTTTTCTTCTAAAAAATGATTTTGGTACATCCCACAAGGAGAAGGTAAACTTAACATGAACACAATGGTAATTCATGGCAGCTCTTTGTGTGTTACAATGAATGGGCACAGAGGAGGAAACAAGGATTCCCAGGTTCATATCTGCTGGCTCTGCCTCCTTCCCATAGGCAGGTGTAAGAGACCATGTACATGCAGGATGCAGCTATGATGTATGCTTTATGGATTGGCCAATCGTGGTTTGGAGTAGGGCCGGGAGAACTTATCCCACTTCTCCTTCAGGTGTAAAGACCTCTTGTAGAAATGGAAAATGGGCATGACAGGGGAACCAAGAGGGTAGATTGAGTAATACTAGAAGAAAGCATGCCAAGACGTTGCTTTTTTAATATAAAGCTTGTTGAGAAATAGAAAAAAAGAAAGGGAAATTCCTGGAGATATATCAAACTTGGAAAGATAGCATTAAATCAACAGGTGGGGCAGAAAGCAGTAAACCTACTGGGGTGGAAAGCCCTGTAATAAGGATACTGTGCAAACATACTCTCCTTGAAAGTATGGAGATTAATGAATTTTCTTGTACTCCCAAAGGTCTAATACCTCAACAGGTGCAAACAATGTTTGGGTTGTTATTCCAAGCTATGGTAATTCAGCTGAGAGTACTCCCCACTCACCATATTCCAAATTCAAAAAGGGCATATGAAAATCTTTTAGATGGTTACCTTATCATTTTTAAAGTCATTAGCACTGGAAATTCATCTAAGTGTAAGCATCTTTTACACTAAAAAAAAACTTCTAAAATTGTATTATTTTTAATCTGAATTCATTTGTAAATTATCTATGCGCTCTTCCCTGATTTGGAACCAAGCCACTTCAAATTATATTTGTAAATTATAAAGGGTGAATAAACATCCTCAGGGCTGGGATCTTTCTCTCTCTTTTTTTCCATTTTCCATAAGGTCCTCGTAACAGTGTAGTTGTTCCTGCACTAAGATACTGAAAATATTGATTTCTATCTAGGTGGTCAGTGATAGTGGAATATTGAAACTGCAAACAAGTTCATTTGGGGATTACCAGTGCTACTATTAGTAATCTCCAGTTGAGGGAGCTCTTTACTGTCCCCTGTCTATTTGTATGAGGCAGAATTCCTGGCTGGCAAATTAATTGATCAAAAACTGTTTTTTATTTTATTTTACTGGATGCTGACAACAATCCCTTTTCCCAATTGTATGGTTCTTAGAATGATTTGTGGTAAGAGTAGAATTCAACTTTGGGTCCTCCAGGTGATTTGGACAAGAACTACAGTCATCCTAACCCTGAGCCCATCTGGTGTGGTACTGTAGAAATATCAAGAGGCACTGGGATGGGCTTGCAGTGAAAGATCCAGGTTCCAGCTCGCTCACTGAAATGAACTTACTCTCCTGCTAGTTTCAAGTCCAAGCCACTGTCTTGTGGAATCCCTTCCTCATTAGTAAAACAGAAAACCCCAAAAACTCTACCTTGCAGGATTACCATATGATAAGTGCTAATTGTAGAATAATATGTTTTCCTAAACAGGGGATACAAGTACTGCACTACCAATATTTTTGTATCCTCTGAAAGCTTAATATATAACTGTCAATTCTCAGGAGTGTGTGTTGCTTGTTCTTTACATTTGTCCTTTCTGATTTTTCTAGAGTTTTCTGGCAATTATAACTGACCTTGAGAAGCTAGATCTGATATCTCCTGATCATCTGGATTTAATAGAAAACTGCTTCCTGACCATTCACAGGACAGACTTGGCAAAAAAAATTGAGAAGTACAAACTAGAAGGTAAGATTTGCTATGTTTTGCCATTCAGCTACTTGGGTAAACATCTTACTGAACTCAGTGAAGCTTACTAATATGTAAATATACATAGGACCATGCTGCTAGTAGTAAGTATCTGGACACAGCTATAAGTCCAGAAATATGGGTTTTGTGATAGTGAAGCAGTGTGAAATCTAGCACTCCATCTCACCATCAGCCCATTTAAGTCTTAATTCAAGATGATAATATTAGCAGTACAATAATCTATAAAAAGTTTATTTCTTACATAATGAGAATTTTGGGAGGGAGGGAGAATGCAGGAATGGTCATGCCCCTTCCTTGGGATTTTTGTTGCCTGTCTGAATGATCCTCCATACATCAGAGAATGTCGGCAGTAGGAGAGCTTTCTGTTCTGATATTGGCTCTCCATGCAACTGAATTACAGAGTCACTTCCTCGTGAGATGGGCGGTGACCAAATTTGAAATATAAACAAACAAACTCTGAGTTGATTTTCCATGATTCTAAATCCTGAGAGCCTACATATATAGATTGTATTAAAGATGTTCTACCCAACCTTCCGGGCATGCACCTTTATAGATACAGCAGGTGATAAGGATGCGCTAGAGGATCTCAAGCGTTTGTTTATCCTGTCTGCTGCTGCTCACAGACATGGGAAGGAATCAGTTTCTGCACAGGACTGCTACCTTAGCGCATGCACAGCAGGGAAGTAGTGGATAGCTTTGCTGTAGAGAGTCATCACAATACCACAGGAATGTTGTGTTTCTAGTCGTCTTCTTTCCCTGTTGTTTAAGAGGCTGAGCATTTTGGAAAGAAGTTTACAACTGCCAAGTAAATTAAAAGAAGAAAAAGGGGGAAATGGTATATTTTTTTTCATACATGAACTGTGCTAATTTGTGCATTTGCAGAACACAGAAAGGAAAACACTTGGCATCTTAACATGAACACCTAATTTAAAAGTTAAAAAAAATAATTTGCAAAACAATTGAAATGGGGGGGGGAGAAAAGTATTGCCTAATTTTTATCGTAAGGCATGCAAGCTTCCTGTTTTTGTCATGCACCTAATGATCATTCTCTTAGCAAAAATGAAAAGGGTATTCACTGTTTGGCAAACAACATGGTAAATAAAGTGACAATTGAAAGTAGCTTCACAAAGTTTGGTTCTAATCGCTCAAGCTCTTTCCCTACTTTGAAAGTATGTGTCATTTCACTTCTTTCAGAGCCTATTAATTGCCCCTCTTCCCCTTCATTTTCCTTTTCTGGTTTTGGCATCAACTAACCTCCAACATTCCACCTTGAGACTGCTCTCAATTCAGCTGCAATCCATTGCACAGCTTGTGAGCATAAGCGCCATTGAATATAATGGGACTTAAAGAGAGATGGATAGCATTGCACTGTTGATTGTGGCTGGTAATTTGACCTTTTTTCTCTAGGATCAACTGCCAATAGAAAGGTGAATCTTTTGAAAGTCCAGACATTCTTGTTCAGACATTTTGAATTTCAAATCTACTTTGATTCTATAATGTACCTAAGAAGCCTCTCTGAGTATATATAAAACAATCTTTTTTTCTTGGGTTATTCCATTATCTATCAGTTTGGCACTGAAGTCACCCACTGGAGTTTGTACTGGTGGAGGGAATAATGCAGCTGCAGAGCTCAGGCTGAGAGGGAGTGCCTTGTCCAAAGTTTTTAAAGCATGGTGACCTGGAAGCTAGTTTCATGGACTTCATATGCCATAGTAAATGTGCATAGGATGGCACTATTAGTGTACTTTCCTTGATGCAGTTATTAAGAAATCAGATGTGAGTTTAGTGAGTACTGGATTATGGCCTTCTTAGGAAGTCCCAGTGGAATAAGAATGTAACTGGGCAAAATCATACCAGTTCATAGGTGTTAATCCTAAATGTGCTTAGGAATGAAACATTAATATGTTTGTAAACACATTTGCTTAGCAGTATATCCTGTTGAAACCAGAATGTTTTTGGGTTTTTTAAGATAAATGTGTTCATGGTTAAGACATTGTCATATTAATTCCTGCTACTTGCTACAGACTATTAAGTGCATTGATTGATTTCATGCCACCAAATTGTTGTTGACTCTTAGCAACCACACAGATAGATTTAACAGCTCCCTTAATCCTAATAGCAAGAACTTTTTATATAAATAGGTCCTAGAGATATAAGCATTTCCTGATGCAAAAGGTAGGGTCTTCTTCTTAGGGAAGCCACTAGAGACACCTATAAAAGTGATGGACCTTTAAATAAAACTATATTCACCTTTCAGAGATGGAAGAGGATTGACCAGGACAGTTGTTTTACAGAATGACCACTGTTGATGTAATTTCTGAGGCTTCTCTTCCTTTTTCAGTTCTAGGTCACTTTCCAACAATGAATGCAAGCACTCTTCAGGTGTCCTTTCCCAAGTTATCTCTTTCTGACCCTCCAAAGGTAAGTGCATTGTAGTGAAGAACAATGAAGTAGTTTCCAAAACTTTTGAGAGAAAGAGTTTTCTGAAATGTGCAATGCCAAGAACCGATGAAAGCTTGCCTAATGACTAGGAACTGATGAGTTGGCAAGATTTGGTCCTTTCTAAGTGGACTTGGCAAGATGTAGCTTATGAGTATTCTGCTCAGAGTTTAAGTCAAAGCTACAGACCATGTACAAATTGCAGCCATTAATCAATGAAAAGGAGGGGCCTATTGCACAGGGGTTGATCCGTTTCTAGTAACAGCTGCGACCTCAGCGGATTGGCCTAAAACTGCAGCAAGCATCCTTTGTGTGGCTGTACTTTCTTGTTTTCAGCAACAAAAGGACTGTGTTAATGAGGTCAGCAAGGAATTCTGTTCCCCCTTGTTTCTTTTCGTGTAGTCTATTGGAGATGTTTTAAACGAACAACAAACATTAAAAGTGGGAACAGGCATTTAAACCAAGTACAGATACCCATCATTATCTTTGTTTCCAAGAAAGTCTTTGATCCTTTATGGCCCAGTGTTTCATTCTGAAATTTGCCCATCTGACCAGGAGAAACCATGGGGTGGGAAACCTGGTCAGTGGTGAGTTAAGAAGCATTTGGCAGGTCTTTTGGTAAATGGCCATTTTGAGAATGTCTTTACCTGCTAGGACAGCTATTTTATCAATGGTAACCATTTTGGGAGAGCACCTACGGTTGTCTCTCAGAATTCCAGATACACCCACAGGACCTGAAAGTTGGAGGATTCTTGGCCTGTGCAAAACCAGGCACTTCTTTGGAATGCACAAACATCTTTTCATTCTCAACTGCCTCTCAAAACGTGTGCTTCTTGCCATGCGGAAAACAAAAATTCTTTAAGGAAGAGTGGCTAGAGACAGATGGCAGAATGCCCCAGAATAGCATTTACTTCTTTTTCAGACTTTATTTGTGGCATGCTTTTAGTTACCATAGTAAAAAAGAGTCGCCATTGCAAGATTGGCAGCTATATGAATTGATATGGTTAATCAGTCAATCAATCATCCAACAGCTGGGGTGGTATTTGGTGAGATTAAACTTGTAAGTTTGACTCTTCTCTCCCACCAAATCCCAGAAACTTTTGGATTGATCAATACATTCCAGTGTACTTATTTTTGTTAAATGTACAGTATATAACCTATTCCCCCTCCCCAATATTTTAGAAAGGATCATAACAAATATATTTGAAGTGCTATACGAACCCAGCACCTCATCCGTATGGGGAGTGTGTGGGTTTACATCCTTTCTACCAGCCATTCAGTGAAACAGTAAATAGCTCTGTGCTACTTGATTTCCCCTTTCAGCTTCTGGCAGTTTTCTCTGTTTTTTTCCCCAAAAGAGGGTGGGCAAAAACCATGAGGTAGAAGCACATGCCTCATGGAGGAAAGCTGAACTGGGACAAAAAAGGGGGTTGGAATGCTCAGTGAGTAGAGCCACAGGAACGAGGACCATGAATTCAGAACGGCTGGACTCAGACTCTACCCATCTGGCCTTGTGGGAGGGTGCAGAATGTTTGCAGAAACAGGTTATTTCTACTTCTGAATCATCTTTCCTCAGTCAGAAACCCTGCTATGGATTACACAGCATATGCTTCAAATACAGGTCAGATAGTATCCCTCTTCCAACAGAGCAAGCAAGTTCTGTTTTTCTGGTTTTGAAGGGTTGGCATTATTTACTTCTACAGTGAAAGGTCCCGCACCCACGATGCCGTTGAACAGAGTGTGTGTACATGTACTCACAGGAACACACATGTGTGTGCATGTATATCTTCCTTGGAGAAACATGCTGCAGGATAAGGAATAAAAAATGATCTGCCAGATTAGAGGAGGGTCTGTTCAGTCTAACCTTCTGTTTCTAACCTGATTCGCCAAATGCCTCAACCAGCCTATGAAGGCTGTACCAAACTGATATTAAGAGTATGTTGCCTCTGAAAAAGAGTGTTTCATTAGTCCTTATGGCTACTAGCCATTGACTGACCTACTCTGAATGGATTTGTTTAATCATATTATAAAGCCAAATTCTTACCTGTTTGGTATCATCTTTTCTAAGGCCAGGATTCATCCTGAGAATGGGTAGACAAACCATTACACTAACTGATGCTAAGTTGAAAATTCTGGAGATAGGAAAGGGATAGAGAGAGACCTCTATCTTCTGTTTTAACACCATGCATTCCCCATAATTTTTCCTTTTAAGTCAGTTTTATTTGCTAAGTAAAACAGCCTTGGGCTCCTTGTCCCCATTGGGAAGATCTTGTGATTCTTGGATCATGTTGACTGTCCTTTTCATATTCTGTGTGTGTGTGTGTGCGCGCGTGTGTGTGCGTGCGTGCGCGTGCATCTTCAAGCCAGTCTTGACTCCTGACAACTGCTTGGACCAAGTCCCTGCAATTTTCTTGACATTTGATTTGGAAGTGGTTTGCCTTCGCCTTCATCCAAAGGTTTGGGAGAGAGCAGCTAGTCCAAAGCTGACACGTCTAAGGCAGGACAAGAACTCACAGTATCATGATTTCTAGCCTGGAGCCTTTAACTACTACCCTAAACTGTTTTTCTTTCTGATTGTACAGTATCCATTTTCAGATACTTCATTGAGTTCTGTGCACAGAATTTAGATGTGGCTGTTCCATGGATTTATGTAAAGCTGTTATTAAACAGTTTGTTTTGAATTTTTTTTCTAATTACCTGTCCAGAATTTGTCTTTTCTGCTATCACAAAAAGACAAATGTAAAAGTTCACCAACAAAGACAAAATATGATTTAATATGATTTATTGTTTACAGATTGTGAACAAGGGAAGGGCGATGAACGGAGCCTGTGCTGTCCAGGGTAAGCCCTATTATAACTTTATAGCTATTCTGTCCTGAATTACCATATTTATCACCATATAACATGCACTTTTTTCCCTAAAAATTGGGGCTGAAATCCTAGCTGCATGTTATACGCCGGTATGCCCTGGGCTTCTCACCTCAAGCGGCAGGGCTGGGAGAGCAAAGCTCCGGGAGAGCATTGCTTTTTTGGCAGCCTTAGCAACCTAGCGCTGCCACTCCAGTTGGCCACAGGGGGAGGCGCAGAGCCTGCAACACCCCCCTGGCTGCGCCGGACCCCTCTCCCCCAGGACCAGCGAGCAGAAGCGCAGCCTCTCCTCCGGCTCCTCCTCCCTCCTTCCGTAGGGAGAAAGAGCACGGGAGAGTCCAGGGACTATGTCAGACCAAAGCGCAAAGAGCAGATCCACAGGGCTCCTAAGTTTGCTAAAACGGGAGCCACGCACCCATTCCCGGGCCTCTGACTTTGCAAACAGCTGCTGTGCCAAGCACACTGTGCCTGGAGGAGGAAGAGTTAAGCGCCTGTGTGTGTGTGTGTGTGTGTGTGTGTCTCACCGAGAGCAGAGGGGTGTGGTGTGTGTGTGTGTGTGTCACAAGAGCAGAGGAGATACAGGCTTTGAACAGGAAAGCCAGATGCTCCTGCTGGGCAGAGGCGGAGCTGGGCGCCTCCTGCTGCACCAGCCTCTGACTTTGCTGGGCTTAGGGACTGTGCAGTCCAGAGAGGTGAGCACTGTGTGCTGCACTGCACCACACATCCCCAGTGAGGGGATCCACGCTCCTCCGAAGGCTGCACCCTCCTCGTTTGCTAAAACAGGGGAGGCAGGGAGCTGCGTGCCACCCATTCCCCAGGCCTGCGACTTTGCAAACCAGCTGCTGTCCTGAGCACGCTGCGCCTGGAAGAGGAAGAGTTAAGCGCCCCTGTGTGTGTGTGTGTGTGTCTCGCTGAGAGCAGGGGGGTGTGGGGTTTTATTCCTCCCCTGCCGCTCAGTGATTTTGAGAGACTCATGGAGGGCAGAGGAGACAAGGGCTTTGAAAGCAAGGAGCTCCTGGACAGAGCGGGCGCTTCCTACCATACCAAGCCTCTGACCCTGTGGATCTGCTCTTTGTGCTTTGCTCTGACACACTGAGTGCTGAAGAACTAAGGTCCGGTGCAGCCTTCAGAGGAGCGCCAGTCCCCTAGCACACAGTGGTGGCACACAGTGCTCACCTCTCTGGACTGCATGGTCCCTGAGCAGAGGCTCAGTGCAGCGGGAGGCACCCTGCTCTGCCTCAGAGCGTCTGGCTTTCCTGTTCAAAGCCAGTGTCCCCTCTGTTCTCAGGACACACACACATGCAGACACACACACCCCTCTGCTCTTGGTGAGAGACACACACACACCCTCTACTCTTGGTGAGACACACACACACACACCCCTCTGCTCTCGGCAAGACACACACACACACACACAGACCGGCGCTTAACTCTTCCTCCTCCAGGCTCAACACAGCGGCTGGTTTGCAAAGTCACAGGCCCAGGGAATGGGTGGTGCTTGGCTCCCTGCTTGCCCCGTTTTATCAAACCGAGGAGCCCTGCAGATCTGCTCTTTGCACTTTGCTCTGACGCATCCCGGACTCTCCCATGGTCCCAGGGGAGGGGGCCGCCCCTCCACACCAAAGTTTCTCCCTACAGGAAGGAAGGAGGAGCAGGCAAGGCCACGGGGAGCCGGAGGAGAGGCTGCGTCTTCCACGCTCACCAGTCCTGGGGCGATCCAAGAGGGGTCGGGTGCAGCTCTCAGGCGGCCAGGGGGGCATTGCACAGCACGCTGCAGGCTCCACGCCTCCCCCGCGGCCATCTGAAGCAGCATCGCTGGGTTGCAGCGGCTGCCAAAAAAGAAATGCTCTCCTGGCAGCCACGCAGGTGATGTTACTAAAGATTGCAAACAGAGGAGGCATACCCTAATAATAAATTACTGTACCCCCCCAATCCTCTTGGACCACCAGGGATTTTTAGCCCCTACTGGTCCACCAGAGATCTTGCCTGCCTGCCTGCTGCAGACAGGTAAGCAGGAAAGGAGAGAATAAGTACCAGTATGATAAACAGATTGCCATTACCACACACTACACACAACTAACCAACACTAATGGTACACACACACTATACACAGCCAGCCTACAACATACAAAAGAGATGCTTTTTCTTTCATATTAG